ATGCACTACAACTAAATCTGACTTATGAGTTTTCAGTCATTTAGATGAATTGTGTGTGTATATATACACATATATGTTCACCAGACATGTCCATACCATATTAACTACTCCGTATATATTTTACTTATGTTCATTGGCACACACACCTAAACAAAGAGAAATGTCATGTTCAAGTCTTCCACAACCTAGGCAAGAAAAGGAAGAAATCACAGTGATGGATAGTGTACCCGGGGGTAGCTTATCCGAAGGGTTATTACGGAGAATAACTTAGAGAGAGGTCAGAGCAAGTAAGAGAGAAAAGGAATGTATATTCGATATATCAGTTGTGTTGTGATTACAATGGAAAACGGCTGCTATTTATAGGATCCATAAATGTTAGGTCTAATCAACGAGGGTACACGTGTCAATCAACCAGCGATGAAGGGTCAACTCAACCAGGGTGGCGCTGACATAGCATGTGGCCGCATTCAATGCGGTGGTTTGGGTGTGACGTTGTACTTGACCCGGTTATTCAGCGCATGTGGGAGAGGAGATCTTGTCGAGAAGAGCGCCTTCGGCTGCACCTGCTGGGGCCGAAGGCTCTACATACTGGGGGTCAATATGTCCCGAAGGCTGTAATTGCCGAAGGCTCATTTTTCAAGCCTTGTTCTCATGTGATGTTTCTGGACTCGGTTTCATGAATGTAAAGCCTTCGGGCATGGGGCCGAAGGCACACCCTGCCTATTATGGGTTGCCTGCTTGAGTCTTGTTTGCTGGGCTTGGCCCATTTGGACCTGTTGGGCATAATTTGTTGTAGCGGAAGTATGTGGGTCAGGGGTTCCTGGGCCATATACTCCATCACACAGCATACTCGAGAAAATTACACCCAAATGTTTATTATGACTGTCTACAATTTATACACAACACAAGTGGAGGAACATCGGCAAGATTCACCTTGATCACCTTCCTACCTTGTCAAACAAAAGAATAAGAACATAAACATAATTTTATTTAATAATAAAACCAAAACAATTCTGTCTTAGAAACTTATTAACTCAATATGTTGAAGTTCCTCTTGATTTAAGTATTCAATTCTCTTTCGGTTCCCTCAATAAGCGGACACTACTCAATTCTTGTAGCCTGTTCACATATTCTTTATCATTCTTGAGTTAATCCAGGCGTGTTGAATGAAACTTATTATAAACTTATTATTAACTTCTACCAAACCTCTAAATCTGTGTCGATCTTTTCTGGCGTGTTGTAAGAAAGGAAAAAGGAATATCAAGAAGCTGGTGCTAATGGTCAAGTCATTTAGGTTAGACATTATCTGAGCAAGAGTAGTTCCAATCTGGTGAGCAACCTCCAAATTGAAAGCGCTTTTATCATATCTCCAGATGCAGTTACAATCTCCTATTATTATTTATAATGATGGAATGCATTTTGTTAAATCAAAACCACAATGTAAATCAAATTCTAGATTATAGTAATACAGAATTGTGCATTGCAACTTTCAAGAGGGATCCAAGAAATGCAGTGTCAACTAAGAGATTGGGAAAGACTTGTGCAAGCACTATGAGAAGAGCGGCTACTAGTTCTATCTTTGCACAAAGCAAAGATACAAATGATAATACATATGCATCAAATACTGTTTATAATCAAGAAAGTGTAATTTTATCCTAAGAATCATTGAACTTGAAGCAAATTACGTACATATGCTTATAAATTACTAAAAGTAGTTTCCCCAAACAAACCATAAAGTATTTGTTCAGACTCTCACAATCTTGGTGTTTAGGATATATAGTTGCTAGCATTTTGTTATATGTGAAGTGACATGAACCCCTGGAGAATTTCAAACAGAATATTAAAATTGAAATCTAGTTATCCTTATCTGGAACGAGTTCGTTGATCATCTTTCTCCTAAGGTTGTTATGCTGATTTGACCTCCGTCTGCATCGTTCATGGATTGCCATCGGTGGAGGTGGTCGTCTAAAACTAAAACAAGGGTTGCCAGATTATTTCAGTAACACTACATAAACGAGGGCCTTGACCTCAATGCTTGGTTCCAATGGCATTGATTTGAAGTTCTTAATTCTTTATTCACTCGAATTTGTTTGAAGAAGATGAAATGTCAACAATATGAATGGCCGACTGCTGGGGTGAATATGAGGGCAGACTTAAATGATTTTTTAATGGTGAAGGTCCATTATGCAATTTTTTAATTTTAGTGACATGAATTGCGTGGAATATATGTCGACTGAAATTTTGCCACATGTATTGATTGCACCCAGTTCGTATATGGTGGTACCGGCCCACCATGAGGATCCTGCACTTGCCCCCAAAACGACACTGTTTACATCATTTAATTGAAAAACGTGCAAACCAGTAAACGGCTTTCTCTCAGCGGCGCGTTTTTCTTTCTCGACCAGTTATTCGCTTCACTTCCCCCCATATTCTTCAATCGTGCCTTTTCGAATTCGGGAAAAAAAATTGCGAGAAACTTTCTCCAGCATTTTTCTCTTCGAAGTTTCATCATACAAAATCTCAACAAAACTTCATTGCTGAAGTACATCCACTTGTGAGAGGAAAAGAAAGCATTCCGTTCGACGGAAAAGTAATGAATCCAAACAAAGAATAAGGTTTTGCAGATCGACACAATGACTAGAGCTAGAGGCAAACTCAGAAAAGAAAGAAATTGAGTATTGAATAATGTGATTTATGTCTTAATGAGATGTCAATTTGAACATGCAAAGTGTGCATGTTAAGATCTAACTCCAATTGTTGTTACAAATTCTGAGTTTCAACGTACTGTATATTAAGAGATGTAACTGCAATTATTGTTAAAAATCCTAAGTTTCTATGGTTAAAATATATGTAAGTACTGGTATGAATCAAGTAAACTGTGTATGTTAAGATATAACTGATTTATTTGAACAAGATGCTCAATGTGTGTGCTCAAAACTGATGTAAGTGCAGCTACGTATTATGTAAATGCTGTATTTAAATGATGTAAATACTGCTATGAATTAAATAAAATTTGCATATTAATATGTAATTACAATTGTTGTACAAAATGCTCTGTAATGATGATGTAATTACCGATGTAACTAGTGCTATGAATTATGTAAATTGTGTATGTTAAGATGTAACTGCAATTTTTGTTGGAATTCCTGAGTTTCAATGCTTAAAACTTATATAACTACTGGAATTGTGAAACAAAATGCTCAATTTCTGTGCTTAAATGATGTAAATACTGCTATGAATTAAGTAAAGTATGCATTTCAATATGTAAGTATAATTGTTCTACAAAATGTTCTGTAAGAATAATGTAATTACTGATATGCATCATATACAAATTAATTACTGACAGGGGTAACTCTGATGATAATATTCCACCAAAAGAACAACCACCACCTATACAAATGATAATAGAAGAAAATCCAACAACAAGTGCACGCAATACGCGAAAAAGGAAGACTTGTGTTATACAAGAAATAGAAGAAGAGTCTGGAAGGGAAATAATGGAGAACATTTCTGTTGCTGCTGATGCTTCAATAAATTTGAGGACTAGAGTTGGACCTGCTCCATTTGTAAGGCTAATCAAAGGATTAAGTGAAAAACAGAAGACAATTGTTCAGAAAATAGGATTTGGATCTTTGCTACACCTGAGCTTTGATAAGTTCCATGGAGACTTTGTTCAGTTTCTACTGAAAACCCTTAGACCAATATCTGGACAACTCAAGCTTACAAGTGGAGAGTTCTTAGATATTGAAGAAGATGATGTTAAAGCTGTGTTTGGCTTGCCCAAAGGAGAGAATGATGTTGTGGAAGCAAATGGAAAGAATGAAACAGAAGACTACATTGAGTTGCTGAAAGAATGGAAAGCAGAGGGGGGCATTGAGAAAGGAAGCCCACAAACAACATCAATGATAGAAAAAATCTTTCAGGATGATGATGATGGAGATAAGTTCATCAGGAATTATGTTGTCTTCACAATCTCTTGTTTGATAAGAGGCAACCAGAGTGTGAAGAGCAACTTCAAGATCTTGCTTTCTTTAGTAAATGTTGGTGAAATCACAAATCTGAACTGGTGTAAATACACAAGACAATCACTCATGGACGCTGGAGAAGAATGGCAGGCCTATCCATCAAAAATGTTTACTGGACCTTTGTTGTTTCTAATGATTTGTTACTTTGATAGGGTGCAATTCAAAGGACGGGTTTTGGACAATGTTTTTTCCAAAATAAAATTATGGACCAAAGATAGAATTGATAAAAGAGTGAAAGATGAGAGGAAATTGGGATTTGGACTTGGCAAGGTGAAGCCCAGAATCATGCATGTAGAAGAAGAAACTGAACATAAAGGAGATGAGTTGTTGACAAAGGAAGTAATTAAGTTTTATTAATCATTTACATCAAGTACTTAAAGAGTTTAGATTTCTGAATTTACATGATGTAAATTGTGTTCAAGAACATGTAACATATGTTGTTTAAAGTGTAACTTCTATTAGTATAAGATGTAAACTGTAGTTGTCTAAGTCAAATGATGTTAACTGTTTTACTATGACATGTAAGTCTTGCCTATCAAAATGTAAACTAAGGTGTTGTGGAATGTAAAGTTCTGAATGATGATTCCAATATATACCAATGTATGTGATATGACAATTTCTAGTTTTTTTTTTTATTTTTATAGGAGTGTGTGAAGGAAATTGTGGCAGTCGCACAAAAATTCAGTGATGCATTTGTTGAGTTTTCCATGCTGCCGTCAACCATTTCTAAGAAGTTCCCAAATTCTGATATATTGAAGAAGATATATTTGAAAACTGCTGATTACTTTATTAATCAAGCAAATGGAGATCAGAACATGGCTAAGAAAGAAAGATTATCAAAGAAGTGTGTACTTGAAGAAGATGATAATTTTTTTAATGAGCCCGAAGTTATGGAAGCGCTTGAGAAACTGGAGAAAACAGCATTTCTGAAATTTGCAATGCCTTCATTTGATTTAGGCATTGAGTTTAACATGACTCGGGGTGCAAGCACTTCAAAAGTGGACCAAAATGCTGTGATGTCTGAAACTGTTGCTGATGTGGAAGCTGTGATGACTAAAAATGCTGCTGATGTAGAAGATGTGATGACTGAAACTGCTCCTGATGTAGAAGATTTGGTAATTGAAACCGCTGCTGATGTAGTGAACCAAAGTGCTGCTACTGGAGAAGAGAATGAAGAGGTTGGGGTAGCTGGAGAGGACAAAACTGTTGCAGGTGGAGAATTAAACAAAGAAGTTGAAAATAAACAAGAGTAAGTGTTAATTGTTTATTATGTAATTTATTAATGTATTTAATTAACTTAATGAAGTTAACATTTTGTTGTTTTTTCCAAAGGAATGTTGAGCTAAAGCCATATACAAGAAAGAGGAAGCTTAGAAAGTTAGGTGATGCAGTGTGAATTACAGGTCACCATTTCTTAAGAACAACATAAGGTTGTGCAAGGAAATGAGCAAGGATGAAAAGATTGTTCTTGACTATGGCCTGTCAAAAGAAGTTGAAAAGTAAGAAAGTCTGATATTATATAATGTATTATTTCAATAGAAACATTATTTCATAATTAACTGTTTCAATTTGATTGAAAAATATTATTGTGTTAGTGATTGTGTCTATCAAGATGAGGGAGGAATTTTTATCACCCATGAGGAGTTTCAGATCCTTCAAGAAGAAAATATAGACCTCCATCATTGATGCATTTGCAAAGATTTTTAATGACAGAGAAAAATCAAATAAGACTACAAAGCGTGCCTTCATAGCAACAACCCAAGTATATGTATGTATAGTTTTTTCTTGTAAATTTGTAAAATAATGCAGAGAACTTCAGTTGCTATATTTTGATTGGATTGACTCAATTTCAATGTGCATGCAATGTTCGATTTTGCATCTGGTGACCCAAACGAAAATGTGGTTGACAGATTGGAAAAAGAACTCAATGAAGCAGGATCAGATATCACAACATCTTCTTTTATATAAACACTAATATTCAACTATGCGCAAATATATAATCAATATCAGGTATGTGTTCTTTAGGGTTTCCGCAAGGTAACGCTTAGCATCGATTTGTTTGCTATCGGCTTAGCCGAGGAGCGGGGTTGGTTTCGGCCGGCCACCTGTTATTATCGGAATTTAGAGATTGGACGAAGAGGGCCGGAAAGGAGGTGAGGGCGATCATCGCGGTTCGTGGTTTCGTTGTGGAAGAGCTGTGAAGCGGCGTTCTAGAAGTTTGTCGGATAAGGCGTAATGCAGCATCGTAAGGCCTGGGACAAGGGATGCAGTACTTTGGCGGCCAGGGCTCGACTTCTGCTGTTGTTTCTGGTCGAAGGTTGAGTGTTGACAAAGAAAAGGTGGATAAGTTGTGGCGGAATATGGTTTTGATTCAGCAACAAGGGATGTTAAAGGAGGATATCGTCAATCAATACAAAAGCTTGACTATTAAGGCGGATGAGCGGCGGGTACGTCCCCCTCCTGAGCTGCCGCCATGGAGTGCAAGCAAGTCTAGGCTTTGGAAGAGGATGGGTGACCTCTGTTTTAATTCCGTTTTATTCTGGTTGTGTTTTTCTTCAAATTGCATGTTGTTTTGGATGTGTTCTTATTTCCTAGCAAAGAGATTCTAGATTTTAAGTCAGGTGATGAGAAGTCTAGTTTGTTAGTCATTGGCTCAATTAAGCCCATTACAGGATCAACGAATATTTTTGCTTCTACTAAGGTGATATATTCTAAGTCTGGTTCGAGGGTGGACGACAGACATAAGGCTTTTTATCAATTTGTTTACTTCTTCTTATTTGATTGTACTAGTTTAGTAACGCGCGTTGCGCGTTCGTGGTAATGCCCAAGACTATTGTATGACATTATTTAATCGGTTTAGGTTGAACAAATATATGAGTAATATGAATACAATATTTGAATACATAATTTGTTATTTATTGATAAGGAACCATAAACAATAAAGTATTCACTTTTGAATACAAGCAAAACAATTGCTATCAAACAGGATAGCTATTAATAGGTTGCCTGTTTTGATAAGGAACCATAAACAATATATATATAAATATATATTTACACAACAACATCACAGTTTAGATTAAATGAATGGCGGAAATATTCAATAATCCGTCATAGACCACACATGGCCAATACATAGGCTCGCAGGCCCAAAATAGTTTATAGAAATTCAAATATTCATGAGCAAGTGTTTATAGTTTGAAAACAATAAGGAAGCACAAACCATATCTTCCTGAATATGACTTCACATGTTTGAGAGGTGCACATAGCAAGCTCTAACTTCAACATGCTTCTTCTTTGATTTTTTTTCTCCTTCTCAGATGTGCCACATTTTGTTTTCAGCTCAACTTCAGCCATCCATGCTGCCTCCTCCTCACAAATAAGTTCTTCTTGTCTTTTCAAAGCAACAGCCTCCTGATATGCAATCTCAATTTTACTGAAAACTTGTACCAGCATATTTATTACAATGGTCCTACGACCCAGGTCAGTAAGGCAGCTTTCATCACTCTCGATGGATTCTTTGTTAAAGTCCTCTCCAGAAGTACCATCCTTTGTATGATTTTGAGGACCTTTCTCATCCTTAGGGGGCAGTGGCTCGAGGGAAGCCTCCAAGGAAGCCCTCTCAAGCAATAGAAGCACATCATCAACCAAGACAAACATGTCTTCTTCCATGTGTACTATAGATGTTGGTTGTTCCTCTGCATCCATACATTTCCCCTTGCCTTTCTTTCCCTTATACTGACCCTCTAGAACCCTCAGTCCACTGTACAAGGAGTCCATGACTAAAGTAGAAGTGACTTCCTTTTCAACAAAGAAGTGTTTTACAAGAACTTTTAATATTACATCTGTTTTCTCCTTTGACATGTGGCGTTTGAAACTTTGCTCCATTCCGAGCCAGAATGCACAGAAACCCGACCATCTACTTTTATCCTCTATTAGTTTTTCAAGTTTACACTGTTGTTCTTCTACATAACGACATCAGATTTGTTCAACATTAGTTAAATAGACCCTAACAAGTTCTCGTCGATATAGACGGTCGAGACAACGAAAGGGACGGTCAGCTCTCTCCCTTAAAACTTGGTCTTGAGCTTTGATTATCAATGTATCAGCATCAATAAACCCATCTAGTAATTTTTTTATTTCAAAACATTAAGTGAAGCTCCTCCTAAGAAACTAATAATAGACATCTAATTTTCACATTCACTTACATTCTTACAAAAAGGTGCTTAAACTATAACAAAAACAAATACAATTGTTAATTATTATAATAGGGGAAAAATCCCCAATTCTATTGTATTTAACCCAGCAGGTTCGGAAAAGTACCCTTAATCTAGTAGGGTGCTGAAATAATTGTCGAGAGAAGTGGTATTACAGTGGTAAAAACAACAAAATAATTACCACGTGGCAAAAACATGACAAGAAACAACAAGAGTTGCTGCCTAATTGCAGGGAAATTTAGACAACACTAAAACTGCTACAAAAAAGACATAAAAGCAAAATAACACTAAGAGAACCCTGCAAAAAAAGACACCAATAAAACCTACTACAATTGAAAGGAAAATTAATTAGAGAAGTACAAAACTATTACTAAATGCTAACAATAACAAAAAACAGCAAGAAAATGCGGGGAAATTGCTACATAATAAAGGCCATAAAGGCAAAAAACAGTGAGAAAAGCTTGTAAAAAACATCAACAAAACCTACTAAATTGCATAGAAACTCAGAGATGCACAAATTGCAAATAAACAACAACAAACATGCAGGGAAAGTGCTTCAAAATGCTAACACATGTAGAAGAATTGCCTAAAGTGAAAATTAAGTGATTAAACATTCCAAAGTATAAAAGTTAATCATTATAATGAATGAAAATATAAAATATAATCATTGTAATGAGAGTGTCAAATCTCTACTATACGAAACATATTATACAGTACAGATGTTTTATCCATACAATTCTCCACACAATAAAAATTGCTCCACGATGCTAAATCTGACACACACTATGACAAAACTAATCCATGTATACAAAAATATATTCTCTACTCTAAACTTGATTTTTAATAAAAATATTTCTCCGTCTAAATCCATGTCCTTGATTAGGAATTTTCTTGCTATTAGAGGGGATAGATTCTTAGTATTCTTATTATTGATAAGAATTTTTTCACCTGCCTATACTGAGTTGAACACTCACTTTCTGTAAAAGAAAAAGGTTTAGATATATGGAATTCATTGAAGTGAAATTACTAAGTCGAAATGGCACAACACATAAGGAGATGACAACACACCAGGATGGATAGCGGCACAACTCGGAAGCGATGGGAGTAGCCGGTGAGGTTAGGGCACAATTGGGGGAAGGACCACACGTAGACCTTAGGAGCCGCACAGAGAAGAAGAAGGGCAGAGACAGAGATACTTCAGATTCAGGATTCCTTTGTTCTTTGAGTCTTCGTTGTCACTTGGATTCCAATTCGGTAACTCCAGGACCTAGACGTCTGTGTTCTCAACGGCTAATAAGCTGACAAAGAAAGCAAATGAAGAAAGAGTTAGTCGATTACCATTGTCATTTAATTATCCGAAGAATAGGAAAGGCTGCGAGCCACAGGGTATGTGCAGGATGCTTGGTCTGTTATTAGATCGAACGTCGAACGGAATGTCCTGTGCGGCAACAACGAAGCGAGGTGAGTCTTCGAGAATATTAACAGAGACAAACGACCGTAGGAGACAAGCCAGGTGAAGTTTGAGAGTTTACAAGCATCTAAACATCTTGTACATGTCAATTAAGCTTAGCATACCACCACCAATTTTTTATATATCATCCATACCCCTAACATTATTCATGCTTATAAGATGGTAGAGATTATCAGCCATGTGACGAACGTTATTGTGATTTAATGGATTTGTTGGTTTTGATGATTAAAAAATGTGATCATCATTTATAAAAGTACAAAAATGGAACAAAGAAGATCATATATTTGGAAAAACATCGTGTCACTGTCACATTTTTATGTCACCGTAAGACTTTTATATCATTTTAGAATGTCATTAACGACTTTCATTTAACTTCAAAATGTCATTGTCGTTGTACACGTGTCGGTATGACGTCGGAAAATTTGCTGGCAAATTTTTCCAGTACTGCCGCAACATTTCGGTCGCCGCCATCTGGCCCACCTAGCTTACCGCTGCCGTTGACAACTAGGAGTCTACCATCCTCAGCCCCCAAATCCCCCTCCCCAGCCCCTAGCCCCACCCCCAGCCCCTCCCTAGCTCTACAAAAGCGATCGACAGTGATTTGCGGTCAAGAAAGGAGAAGAATAATAGAGGAACCTTGAGCTAGGGAGGACAAGATGCAGCGGAGAGGCAAGGCGAGGCTCAGAGAGGCGGACCGGCGGAGAGAAGGCACCATGGCCGTGCGGAGAGAGAATCGTCATGGCTTTGCGGAGAGAGAATCGTCATGGCTTTGCGGAGAGAGAATCACCATGGTTGTGCGAAGAGAGAAGGCATGGCCGTGCGAAGGAAAAGGCTTTTCCACACATGTCCCTGGAGCTGCAAGCGTGCAAACGAGAAGACCCAGATGAATTTGGTCCGATGACTTTAAGTCATATTTTCGGAAAGAGTAAAAGTGCTCATGTTTTTGTCTACTCAAACTATATGAGTATTTTTGTGTCATTTCCTTTTACTACCTCTAATCAATATTCAATTTTCTTGGAGCAAATTTTAGAATAATTAAATTTAATACTACGTATCAAATAATGTTATTCAAGAACATCATACTATTCAAATTTTCAACAAAAAAATATTTTCGAGTCCTAAATCTAACAATTATATTTACAAATTACACAAAAACAAGAACTACAAAAGATAGTTGAATGATAATATTAATTAGTAAAAAGAAATAGTATCTAATATATGCTCAAACTAAGGATATTCAACACAAATGTGTCTTAGTAAATTTTAGTGACTATAATCAAGTACAAACTTTAAATTGTACAAACTATAATAATCATGATAATAATAATGATAATAATAATGATGATGATGATAATAATAATAATAATAATAATAATATAGTAACCATAATATAATATAGGTTTACAGAGACTAAAAACAATCTGTGTCATATTTGTAGGGACTAAAAAATATAATAATATTAATGACAACTTGTACGGGGTAGTGATTTAGCGTATTCAGTTTAATGTTATAATATATTATGATAATAATATATAAAATTCAATTGTTACACAATTGGACTTCGTATTGATTAGGAGACATCGGTCTTTCGCTATACCTCTACCGAATTGAGGCAGGTATTGTTTCTTCCTTTGCCATGCAACTTTCCCACATTGTTAGAGGAAGAAAAAATCCCTTCACCGAACCTTATAAATTAACCCATTTGCCCAATACTTCCATAGAAACGCCTTCTAGCTTTGAAAACGCCATGTGGGCGTCAATTTTTTCTGCCTTTTGTCACGCCTTATGGCTATGCGATGCGTTTCATTGGCATCTCACGCCTAGGCATGCCTTTGCGGTGCCTTTTGGCGCCTCTTAGAACACTGCTTCCAATATGATTTTTCACACAAATTAATACTAACGGTTTAACAAATTTTAGAAAATAGTAATTAACCCCCCCCCCCCCATACTCCCCTTGTACTAACGTTAACAAGGGGAAAATGAAAAATTAGGAGCATGTATGTTTTTCCCAAATAGAACCAACTTACTTCTATTATGAAACAAACAAACATATTTCATCCCATTTTGCCCCTTCATTGGTTTGCCACTCTTCGTCGATCTCTAATCATTTTTTCCACCTAAAAGTTTCTCCTTCCATTTTGCCATTGTCTCTTTCTTCATCACTGTTTCCTTCTATATGTTTCATTCCTTCTCTTCTCACTGCAAGCCAACGAAAAACTCTGTAAAGCTTTACTCCTTAGAAGTGAACCCCGAGTATCATTCTTTCATTTCTTAGACAAAAAACCATTTGGTAAGTACATCCTACTCTGGCTATCATTGTGTTCTATATTTATACACAAGTTAATAACCAGATTCATTCTTTTTAATTTTGTTTCTATTAAATTGTGTGTTGTAATTGTCTGGAAATGAGTTTTTGCCAAAAATATGTTTGCGATTATGAACTCGATTGATGATATACTTTTATTTCTTCACTTGAACATGACTATTCAACAAAACGTAATCAAAACCTATCATTTGGCATGTGCCATTGTGCTTATGTTATTGTCATGAAGATGACATTTTCTTTTATATTGTGTATTTTGTATTTGTTATCTTTACCCTTATATTTTTGTTGTATTTTTGGCTCATTAGTTATCCATATGGATTCTATTTTTTTTATGGTCAAATTGGATGAAAGTTGGGACAATGACTACAATTTCAACAGTACATAGTGCCACTTTTGCTATGCAATTTCTTTACTCTGCAACATACACAATTTATAGAACAACTATCTTCCATCTTTTGTAATTACAATCCAAATAACCACTTCAAGTTATCTTATATGGTTGATGGCTGCCCTCCATCCATTTATATCAATGATGAGGACACCTTTTAGTTTTTCCTTGACATTTAAGTCTCTTCAAAGTGATTTTCAAAAATATCACATATGCATGGAATTCTTAGCTGATATTGTTCCTCCTCACAGTTTGTGCCGCACGCACTGCTATATCTGACATTTGAGGTTCATCAAATGGAGTTTGTTGTCATATTCCTTCTTCCTGTGATACCAACACAAGAATGATTTTTAAATGACCATTAATTCCATGTCCAGAATGAAACCAATGTTAGCTCTATTCAGTCACCCCTTTATTGACCTTCTAATGACACCTTGTATGTTCATCATAATCAGCACCTAATCACTCACTACCAACTCACTTAGATTATGGTGCATGATTGCATGTAATTTACAAGTCCAAACTACAGCTACATCACCATTTGAAGTTGTATGCCACAAATAATGTATGTATTACAATGCAAAACGCGTGCATCAAAGAAGAGTTCTTTACATGTTTTTTGGATGATAATTATGAATGGATTGTGAGGGCTGTAAAGATACGTGGCATCCAAATGTTTCATATTGGAAGGTATTTCCGCCTGATTTTTTTTATTGTTTTAAACATTCTGTCT